CTGCTGGCTTGACCCTACACAAAGGGAAAGTGTTAAAGTGCTGACCTCAACAGGCTTCTCTTTGCACCTGAAAAAAAAAAAATAAAAAAAAATCCTTGAATCTTTCCTTAAGAGTAACATAGACTGCTCCTTTTAGAGGACAGACTTTTTTTCCTTCCTCCTTTCCAATTAGACTACTGCTTTTAGCCCAGCAGAGAGTAAATGACTTAAGACACAGAACACAGAGGGCAGACCTAGAATAAACACAGAAGCCATGAAGAGTTTGGTTTTTTTTGTTTTTTTTTTGTCATCTGAGAGGCTCTGGGAGCCCCTAGTACTGCAGAGTCATCACATTGGCTCCACACCATCTTCCATCTGGTTGTGAGTACATTAAACATTACTGAAGAAAATGAACATGGCTTGGCAACAAGATGATTCTTAGATGCTGGAAGAATTCCCTTAAGGGCTGCTGGAAGCGCACAAAGCTTGGAGCATCCTGAGGATGTGGAGTGATACAGAAGTGTGCTGTTAAACCATGTTTGTATCCTTATTTCCTCCTGAGTTAAAATAAGTGCAGAGTGCTGGGTTAGATTCAACGATAGCAAGAAGGAATTGTGCTAGCTTCTGCTAATGCCAAGTAGACAGTTCCCATTTGCTTTAGAGGTACTAGGTCCACTCTGAAAAAACATGTAGGAAATCCTACTCTTGATAAGAGTTTCTACTCTGCTCTGTTGACATCAAAGGCTGCTTTATCCATTTAATTTTCCCTTACTGTTTGCAATAGTCCTTCCCTGTCCCCCATGCATTCAGTGTTTTTAATGTAAACATGCCCTGGCAATATTATGTTTAAATAAGTAAGAGACATGTCAGAATATCTCAACAGTATTGGTGTTGCATATTTAATTCAAAAGCTTGCATGTGCTTCTAAAAGTTCCTCTTCAAACCTGCATGTCTTACAGGAAAGAACTGTGTTGCCGCTGGATTGCACATCATTATCTAGTGTTGACTAAATATTGACATGTTATAGCCGTTTATTTTTAAGCTGTTTCGGATGAATCCCCAGCCAGTGTAAATTGGCCCACGTTTAAGGCAGCTGAGTGAAGCTGATTTATACCCGCTGAGGCTGTGTCCCTATGCCCTGTTAAAAGCGGAAACTATCCCAAAACTAGTAATGCACAGGGCAAGAATTATGAAACCTGACAACATTTTTTTTTCTCTACTTTTAGCAGAAAAAAAAAATACAGTGATCTCATTTCAAGACTACACCAAAGAGTCAACAGTATTTAAAATGCATACAAATATCTCATAGCTAGTATTTAGACTAAGAGGTAGATGTCATATTTTAGGAATAGTATGGTGTGGAATGATGCTAATGGCAGTTGCTAAATACATTTGTTTGCCTGTTACACAGGACACAAGGGAGGGTTATAGCAATGGCAACCACAAGAAGACTTACAATATCCTTTTCTTCTTTTGCTATTCTATGTTACCTGTCTTTCAATGCATTCCTTCTGGAAAGGTATGATGGAAAAATGGCCAGAGGTAAAAAGATCAGCAATACAAAATTTCACGTTTACAAAACGTTAGCTTTATCATTAAAGGCATCCTTTGTACTTTGATGGAAGCATTTTGTACTTACAATTTAAGATTACCTGGTGTTACTGAGCAAGTAGCGGAAATTCCAGGTGAGGTGATTCAGCAAAATAGGGGTCAGAAGAATGCAGCTCACTCTCTTTTTCTCTGTTGTTCATGCTAAAAATACCAGGGCATATGACAACATATTTCAGCATCTTAACATACTAGGCTCCCTTGAGGACAGAAAAAAAGAGGAAACTTGTGCTGTTGAGCCAGAAATAGATTACAGAACAGTGCTGCCAGACGTACAGAGTGCTGGCAGCAAAGCCATTAGCGGAGTCAGTGTCTTATTTTACCTAATGGTGTTTCAGTGATATTTAATGGGCCTCAAAGAAATGTGAAGCAAAGCTAGTGAGAATGAGGAGTGGTATAAGCATTTTTATAAATTAGTTGTCGTTGCAAGTAGAGGAATTACACATATTGCATTAGGATATCCACTGCTTGTGTATGTACCTTCCAGTATTTCCTTGTGACTGTTAGGGGTCATCCCCTTGCTTGGAATAATCAAAATGCATATTATAATTACACGGTTTTCCAATATCCATACACAGCAAGTACAAGATACTTACATGTAAGTACACTGTATTTACCTATATTTTTGCATAGTTTTTAGTGTGTACTTTGTGCCACTTAATAAAAAGCATTACTCTTTTTGTTGTTGCTGTTTATTTTTCTCTATTAGCTTATTCAATTAAAGTTGAAGAAGCTGGATTTTTGGTATGTTCATCACAAATTACCAGTTCCTAGGAGTGTAGAAATTAGACACTTGGAGGAGTCTGAATAAGTGGTGGGGGAAGCTGCAGTGTGAACATGAAATTTTCAATCACCTCCTTAATTGAGAAAAGCAATATCAGATTTATGGTGCTAATTTAATAAACTTACCTTTAATTTGAATGGAATTGTAAAGGTAAGAACTCCATTTTCCTTTTGGTAACACTTTACAATAAGTGGCACTAAATTACACTATAACTGCTATGTTACAGGGAATTACATGTAACTACACTGTAACTGTTGAAATAGCTACTGTACATGTGCGTACATGGTAACTTCAGTGCTGTTACAATCATGAATTACATAATTACAGATGATTCTGTCCTTTCTTTTCATTGAGATAGCTATATATATTATAATGTAATGAAAATACACAAGATGTTAACTTTCATGTCTTATTTAGAAAAGTTGGTTTTCTTCACGTATTCCTTTATAGAGGGAGTCTCAGTGCAAGACGAACCATCCTTAAGTAATGTGGAAACTTTTTAAAGTGTTCTAGCTTAAATTCTGAGCCTCAAGTTAAACGTCAGGTTCCTTAAACTGTTTCTTTGTTTGTCAGATGACACTAGAAGAGTGGGAGGATGCACTCCTTGTCTTCTGATGCACTGCTTTCTTGTTCAAATCATGAGAATGTTCTTGAAGCATTAAAAAAAGAAAAATCTACATCAAAAGGTTTAAAAATAATCAGCAACTGACACTGTAAACAGTACACTGGCAGAAACTAACTACCTGGTCTTGAGGAAACTACTCTTCAAGCACATGTGGGAGAAGATGTCACATACATTTTAGCGAGGGTTGTTCCCATTCAGAGCATCCATTTTACACATTCTCTGGATACCTCACACCGTAATAAAAATGGCATTTCAGAATGGGATCTTGGACAAAGAGAACAGACAATTGGCTTTTAGCCTACTGAACATCATTAGTGTTGAGCCATGGTTCCGCTCATAAAAAAGAGGGATGCCTCTTTACACCTAGTGTAGTAATTCAAACCCGTGAAGATCAGACAGGCCTGCAAAGTGCTATCCAGGTAGAATGCTTGGTGTGGGTTTTTTTCTTACCTGCTTTGCACAGATGCAAGGGACATTACCAGGTGTGAGATAATGGAAGATCAACTATGCTAAAAATGAGCACATGTGAGAAGTTTTAACTGAAAACCAATGAAATGGCCTATTTTTAACAGTACAATTTATATAGTTTTGCAAAGTTTAAATGCTGTTTCCATGTCACTGGAGAAAATGGTTTGAAATGGTTACCCCAAGGCAAATCCTGCTTTTGAAGGTCCTACCTGACCTTTGTTGGGTAATGGTTCAAGTAACAACCCTACTATTCAAGCAAGCTGGAGTTAGGAAGAATGAAAAAAAGGTGTAAACACCATACTGGTGGAGAATTCCACTTGAGCAAATAGGGCCCTCATTCAGGGAAGCACTTATTTTTAAGCATATGAATAGTGCCTTACGGTCCAATGGAGCTTCTCCAACTTCTGAAGTTGAGTAAGTGCTTAAATATTTAGTTGAACTGGGCCCTAGGTCCTGAAATAAAATCTCGCCGTAGGTTATACTCTACTGATGTAACTTACTGTTGTGACAAGAACCCATATTTTTGGTATTAAACTGAATGACTTCCTTTGCCAGCCTTTTACATGTGTATGTTTTGAAAGACATGAATATCTTGTAAACCTATACTAGTTTTCAATGTGTCTAGTAGCACCTACCTGGTTCTCTCAAACTACCATATTATATTAACATATTATTGCATTTTTCCACAGATGGGTATGGAGAGAACTGTAAAAACAAGCATGCAATCACATCAATGCAGACTTATTTCTTTAAAATGTCATACTGTATATGATTTATTATGTTAACACTCAACCACATCATATTATTTATGTCTGTATATTTTGAAAAAAAGTGCTGCTTTGATTGACGTCACCCTTCTTTCTTAGAAATTAACAAGATAAATGCTTCAACAAAAACAATTAAAATACTCTAGTATTGTCCTTAAAAGGTTTATACTCTTCTGATAAATAATCTGACAGCACCTTTATCTTCCATTTTACCATACTACATGATGTCATATCCCAAACTCCCTTCCCCACACAAAAATAAAGTCCCAGGAGAAAGTCCTTTACAGCAGACCATCATGCTTTTAGGCTTCACAAGTACAGCAACCAGAGAGAAATACTCTTTTGTCAAAGGTGCAAAACTCAGGAGCAAGACAAGCTCCGGCCAGACTAACTTGCGTTCTCCAGTGTAGAATCATTTCCAAGAGCTGTTATGGCAACCTTTTTATTTCATTGGAAGAGGAAATAAGCCAATGGGCTTACAGTGTTTTGTTGTCATTTTTAAGAGCATGTGATTTTCCAGCTGTCAATTACACAAAAAAAAAATTCAGAAATAATCCAAACAGAGACTTTCACTGTGGAGCTAAAAGCATGGCAGGAATTCTCTATCATTCACGGTGACATGTTTGTACCTCACAAAATGCATAGACAGGAATTTAATATAAAGAATTAGTCCATTTACTGTATACACAAAACATATATCTTTTGTTTTAACACTTCTATTTTTTTTCTTTTCCTTTTTTTTTTTTTTTTTTTTTTTTTTTTTTTTTTTTTTTTTTGGCAAACCAACATAGAGAAGCAGCTCTGGAACTGCCAAATTAAAAACTGAGAAATTTAGCAACTCAATAGTATTTTTTAAGGATAGTAATCAAATGTGGTTGTAATTTAAAACCTGAGGCTGTGCACTGGTTGTTAGCTTAAAACTACCTTTCCATATAACATTGTGCTTCCATTGTATAACAAAGAAAAAAATAACAAGAACTAGAAAAGTTTGCTGCTGAACAGTGCTAGGACATACAGACAAAAAATACTAATACATGTTATCTACTCAGAATATTGATCTGAGTCATATCTAAAGGGATTTAATGGACATTAGAAAATGCTTGCTTGTGACTGACTTAGCTACTGCCAAAAAAGTTAAATATATATCAAATAAAGTTTAACTGAATTTATTATATGCACTATATACAGATACTAAAATGCCTTGCAGTTGTGCCCCATGAACACTTCAAATTTGAGTAGGCAGGTGAGTTCATGTGAAGCAAATAAATTATAAAACCAGAAATTAGTCAGAAAGTTCTCTTATATTTGCAATCCCAAAAAGCAGTGAAGGGGCAGGACAAATTTGTTTCAAACGAAGCACTATTACCTAACTTTGCAGAATCTGTATAGCTGTTCAGCATGTTTTTACCACTGAAACATGGCACTGTTGTCAAGGTACCATTTAAAACATAACAAAAGAAAGTAAAACAAGCCAAAAAAATCAGTGGATTTACAGATTTTTTCCACCAAATCCAAGCATATAGGAAACTACACTAAAAAAATTTCAGATTGTTTCCTAGGGCATAGGTTTCAAAAACAAATAGCTTTTTGAATTATAGATAGATATGTAGAAAACATTCTTTGTAAACCTCTAATCTTAGACTTAACATTTTATGTAAGTAAATTAGGTCCTTACCTAATAGTATTTGTTATGAATATTGTTCTATGACACGCTCCTACAGGCATGATAAAAGAAAACTGGAAAAGAAAAAGCTGCATAACATTTAAAAATGTAGAAAACTTGGATTAAGATGATAACATTGTTAAGGCTGTATATTCAAGCACTGTATGTTAAGAGAGCAGTGGATATGAATTTTAGGCAATAAGAAATGTCCTGCTTTATGCATGATACTGTAATTATAGAATGACGATGTCAACAGCTGATTGTTGGCATAAACTGGCTACTTATAACAGGTGAGTTAATAAAGATAGCAGAAGATGGCAGAAATGAATTCTGAGAAATGATAGCCAGTTTTCTCCAGCAGTCAGCCTGATAAGTAAAACTCGAAGATTCTAGCTCTGCATCTAAATGAAATACTCTTTTTTCTCCTCTGCATTGACTTGGCTGCCTTCTGCATTGATAATGGCTGTGTCGGCATCAGGCGCATCTTCAGCTCCCTTCGCTTCATTTGTTAAGTATGTTCCTATAGGAATCAGTAGAACAGAAAAGAAAAAAAAAAATAGATTAGGGATTTTTTAGCTTTATGCTGCATTATAGAAAGCACATTTCTAACAATGACTCAATTGTTTCATGAATCGACAAATATTTTTTACACAGTTTTAGTATACATCATACAGGTATGCTCAACCTTCTAATTTAAGAACTATTTATAGTTTTAATATTGATAATGCATATACAGAAATTCCAGTATATCCGCAACAACTTAAGGAAAAGTTTTAACAAAAAAATGTATCTGACTGCAGTAATATGCAATAAATTTTGCAGTTATAGAATAATTAATAAAATCTTGGCTATTTCATGTAACAGCTACCCATAAAAAACAAACCAGCTTTGAAGACTTAGCTTTTCATAAATGATTAATTTTTTTTTTTTTTTAATGGCCAAGGATTATTTTTGTACTTCTATTTTTTCTTGATTGCATCAATACTTTAATTTTACAGAATTGTATCGCAGTCATTTTAAAGACTTAAGAAATGGAGGTAGTTTTATTATCTGAACCCGCTCACAGTATACTATCACAGATATTTTTATGCTCAGGATATGAATAAAAAGAATTGTGTACAACACTCAACTTCCCCTTTGTAAAAGGCATTATTTTTGTCAGCATAAGATGTATAACTGCTAGTTCAGGAAAGTAAACCAAAAGAGACCCACTTATGGTAGCTAAAAAAAAAATCTTGGTTTCTCCCCCAACAGCCCAATCAAACTAAGATGTTTTGATCATCTTACATCTGCTAACCATATGAATAGCCTATCTAAAATGAGATTTAATGAGTTATTTAATGAGTTAGTACCAATAATAATCCTTTCTTTTCTTTTTTTTTTTTTTTTTTCAAATTACTTGGGTGGGTACAGAATCAACTGAGATTTAACAATAGATCTACAAGCCATTCAGTGGTTAAATATAAAGAAATTATTTTAGAATTAACTAGGTCACAATAGGATCATAGAGAAGCTTAGTCAGAAGTCAGTGTCACCCCATACCTTTTATCCCTCATAGCAGGGAGTTGGGATTGAGAACAGAGTAGAATTCTTACAATGAAATCTCTGAATAAAGTAAAGCTTGGCCCAAGAATGAACCCTTTATTCCACTGGGATCATCGATAAAAGAGCCACTCATCTGAAAAGTCACCACTGGCTTCTAATACTTTTTTTTAAACATATACCTGAAGTATTAGTACAGTTTATTAAAATGAAAAATCTTGTCCGCTCAATATATATTCAAAACCATGGGGAAATCTCACCTCTTAGTCCCTCTAAACCATTGACTTACAAGATGACCTTGGGCATGTACCTAGATGTCCTTTGACTCAGCCAGTCCACTGGAAAACTGGGTAAAATTCACAGGGACCTCACTTGGTCTATGAACAGAGATTTCTTGTCCAAATATTTAGCAGATGGGGGCAGGTAAAAGGGAAGAGCACTCCCAGATGAAATCACACCTTGCTTCTAAAAGTCACTGAACTTCCACTAGGTCTGTCCTACCTTTATGTCTTGCCAGGTATCGACCAAGGAGAATTATAGAACATAGCGTTACAAAGACAACTACAGCCACTATCCCTCCTATAAGAGCATGGTCAGGTCCGGTCTGTCCAGCCAAAGCATTTGGATCTAGAGGGAGAAACAGAAAGTAAAAGTGGTCCTACACAGAAAAAAAATGACAGGAAAATTCACAACACCAAGTTTTACACCAATCATCCTGAAAATAGGGCATTTCCCTCTTTAATATTCAGGGTGGTTATTCCCAGTTTTACTACCAGTATCTTATCAACAACATAGTGCTGCTTGTATTTCCAGATCGTTAAAGCCCTGAGGACATCACAGTTATGAAAAATATTACCTTATTCTTCTTTGGCAGAGGTTATTAAATGGGAAGGTTTTCTGGTTTTGTCGTCGTCATTTTACAACTGAAAACCTGGCCATAACTATTTATAGATGGAAAAACAAGGAACTGAGAATTGGGGATCAGATAGCATCAGCAGAAAAGTGTCTGCATAATACATAATTTATAGAACTGATTCTCAGTGGGAAACCCTTATATATTCTCTTCCTCTCATTCCTATCCTATTGCACCAGAAATAAAAAGGCAGATAAAGTGCAGCCGTGCTACGTTACTCTGCACATGGCTGAGTCTGCATGAATTTGGTCAGATAAAGGTATCAGGCAACCTGAGAGATCACCATTTAGTCTCAGTCATGGGTTTGTGAATTTACTATGAATGCTCAATTAACACCCAATGTGAGCAAGCTGTAATACATATAACAATGCATTAGCAGGTTCTTTTTATTAACTCTGTGCAGAGTGCTAGGAATATTGCCAGATTCAAGCTGTCGGTGCTGGTCATCTGCCTGTTCTGTTGCCTTCACAAAAGTTCAAAGAGACAATCCTGGGAAATGGCCCTACTTTGGGGTGAGTAATTCTTTGGAGCGTTTGAATAATGAACCAACAACCTTTGACTGTTGACTCACCTGAAATATGCAAAAGAAGGTAAAAATTCTATCTAAGGATTATGGTAAGATTTCTGTCTTAATCAAAATGCCTCTGCTACAAAGCAGCATTAATTCTTTGAAGATACTATTAGCATGTACTGTATGTTGCAATCAGACTACTCTCACTGCTTCAAGGGCATTTCCCTTGTAGGTGCTGCTTATATTCTACAAACAGTTTGCAAACAACTTCTTTGTTTTGCAAAAGGGAAAGGGAGGAAAAATATTTACACAGAAAAGAGGGTAAGTCTGTAAAGATGATAGAAGAGCTTCTGATAATGCTGAGGAGGTGTGATACCATGATACCATAATTACATACTGCTGACCAGGAACACTGTATAACAGTAAGATGTGTAGATAGAGCTACATGCACACAAGAGTACATAAATATAAAGTTACATAGAAATAAAAGACTAACGTTTTCTCCTCCTTTTGTTAACTGTCAGACATACTGAAATCACACTTTCAAGTTTGCTGGAGCACAGAGTAGTATTTCCACTGTCACAGATACAGTTCTGCTCTTAAGTCACTGAACCCATCAGGCATGGCTTTGTCACTTATTGCTGGCTTTCCGAGCTCCCACATCTTTCTTTTCTGGCTGCTAAGAGGACTTTGGGGAAGCCAGCCACAGTACTGTGCACATGATGGTAAACAGTAGGTCTTGGCCCCCCAAAAAGCTAGAAACACCTTATAAAGTCAGCTGTACCTGCCCCCTTCTCCATTTCCATGAACCTCCTGGCATAGTGCTACTTTTGGTGGCACTACACTGATTACACAGAATCAGTCCAAGGGGAAATCAGCTCTATTTTGATGATTAAAAATGACCCCAAGCTCTGTGTGCCAGCAGTCTCACAGGGAAAAGCAAGACAGCTGAAGTCTTGACTCCCCAAAGCAAGAGCTTGGAATGCACAACCATTCTTTCCCACACCTTGCAGAAGCTCTGTTTTCTGAAGGGAGTAAGGAGGTGACTGCTCACTTGAGAAAATGGAAGGCGACAGCTTGCTGCAGGATTGTCAGCCTGCTTGACTCATCTAGCAAATCTTTCCTTCTGTGGTGTCTGTAGCAGTGTTGCCATAAACCTCCTCCCTGAAGCAAAAAGGTAGCACCCACTTGGGTATTCAGGAGCACCAATGTCCCCAAGTACGGCATGTGACTTGCAGGAGATCCTCTTCCCCACTACTGGTCCAGGAGCAGCATAAACATGTTTTCCCACTAAAAGGTAACTCCTTTGAGTATACTGGCAGTAAAATTACAGAATGAAAGGAGATATTTTAAGGGATAATATACTTCCTGATACAGAGTATAATCCAGAGAAGGGATAGCTCAGCACTTTCTATAAAGGCATTTTTTGAAAAGTTGATTGCAGTGTACAGCCTTAGCTCAATACCCAGATTTACAACATAACTCCTTTTTGAGATTAAATAAACATTATAGATAAAAATCCTCACAATATACTGAGATGAATATGGCTCTGTGTTTTCATCCTCAGGTAATATTATATATGTCATAACTCAGTCCTCTGACTACCATGTGACTACATGAAGCGACCTAATGAGACTCTATTGCTGCTATAGGTTGAAATTTTTAACATTAAATTTAATTTCAGTATTCATTGGAATGCAAAGGTAGTATTGTATTTCTGCTACAATCTCTTCAATTTGGTATCAAAGACAGACTGTATTGATAAGAATTGATTGTATTGATAAGAATTTGTAGACAAGTTTGTCCATGAAAAAGCATGTACTAGACCTATTACCGTTATACTATCACAGAACAATTTATTTGTTAAAATAAAAGGAAAGGAAGAAGAGGAAGGAATACATGGAAGGGAAGAAAATAATGGAAGATCCTCAAAAGTGGCTAACATTTTCTTGGGAAGAAAGCATTCTTTCATCTCAGAATGAAAATCTGTACAACATAAACAGTATTCTGAACAGGAGGTACACCTCGGAGAAATACTCTCCTCATAGAAAAATAATACTAGCATTAAATATAAATATGCTTTATATTATGCATACAGAGTAATGCACTATATTTTTGCCTTTCAAAAAATGACCTAAGCCCCATGAGTGAATTATAGATCTGGGCTATCTATCATTGTATAAATAATTACTATGTCAAAATGTGCCTGAACAGTATCTGAAAGATAGAAATACAAGGGAAACCATGCCATTTTTTTAGTTCAGATATTTATTAAGTGAACATGTATAAATATCCAGGCATTCTGGGCATTTGTATTCACAACTGCCATTAAAGTTCCTGAAAGTGCTAAGTACATATTTTGGCACCGATCACTCCACAGTTTGCTTTTAAAAAAAATACAACAGCTTTCAGATTATTTTTAGATTCCCATTATCAGCTTCATGGCCTTTACTAGGTAAATCCTACTCTGTCACACACATAACTCCAGCAAATGAAATCTTAAGTATGCAACTGTGCAACAAATACTTATATTACAGCTGTTTCCATGAAAAAAAAAAAAAAAAAAAAAATTACTTTGTTCCTACTTTAAATATAAACTGTTTTTTACTGCTTAAGCACAGGTTCATGACCTAAAACAGTGAAATTGAAATTTTGTAATTGGACTAGATCTTCATCAAAGATAATTTCTTTTTCTGTTTATTTCATCCTTTGATGAGACTAAAGAAATCTTGTAGCAAGATAATGGTACAAAAGCTCACTATTCTTTTTTTATTTGTTTTTGTCCTACATTTAGGAAGCCTCTTCAAAATGCTGTGCAGTTAAACCCACTTTCAGCTCCTGAGATTTGCCCATTGCTGTTTGTTCATAAACCTACAGAAATAACACACTTAAATGACTAAAAGGAAAATAAAAAAAATAAAAATTGTCATCCATTAAGCAATGAAACAGATAAGATAAATATCAGACCTCTTAAATAAGTAGATATGTGATTTTTATGACCTGTTGACAAAGTTTCAGTGTAGAATATTGTTATATGATTTCATACATTAGTTAAGCAGAGAAATTTTGGAAAAGTTATTCATGCTTTTCCATAAAATATATGTTAATTATTCATCTAATTTCATTTTCTTCCTGCATAAGTTTCCTTCTTATTTATGTACAGCTGACTTCACTGAGTAGGCTGCAGAAAAGGGTCAGATGACCCCTTCCCAAGTAAAGGGAGAACAAGCACATTTATCATGCTGAAATGGCATATTTTGGGGAATATATGATCAAGTAACCCCTTTTATCACAAAACATTATTAGCATGGTTTTTTTTTTCCGCTTAGAAAATCACTCTGAGCATGAGATGTACGCAAGTTTGAGACATCCAAAATAATGATTTATTTTGACCATTTCTACCAAAAGAAAAATCAGAAATAAAGGTCCTGATCTGCTTCAGAGATTAAAGAGCATGCACAAAATGAAGACATATTAAGCAGATGTATAATTCATAAATTGCTGTTCCTTAAGTCTGGGAAAAGAACAGGGATGTCCTATTTCTCAGAGAAGTACAGAAACCACCAGCCTACAGTCACTTTTACTGATCAAATGAATAATCAATTGTTAAAGGAAAGCAGAACCACTCCAGCAAGGGATTCTATATCTTAACAAAGAATCTACAGGAACGAAGCCTTTAGAAAAAACCTAAAAGAGACTAAAGCTTCAGCCAAAATCTGTGCCCACGAATCAAATTTTCTCTTCTTTGGTGTTCAATATGGCACAGATCCTGTTTGAAACTTTTCACATGGTGAGGTGGCATTTATAACATCCCAGCCCTTCCCAACTCACCTTTCTCCACTTCCCTCATACCCACTTTTTCTGCTTCTCTTCCTTCTCACATTGCAGTATTTGTATAACTCAGTTCAAAAGGCTGTCAGCCATGAGGTACAATCTCATTGGAAACCAGAGATTTCTTTCTGCAGCTTATGGAACAAATTTGGTTTTTAAAATGTATCTAGATTTAAAATGCACCAGATTTAGCCACAGAGTCTATATAATATTTAACTGCCCCACAAACATAAGCTTTGTAAAAAAAACTAAAATTAAACAAACAAACAGGCCAACCCAAAACCCCTCAATGATTTGTCTAACATCAGGAGGAAAAGAGACTAAAATAGGAATTTACTCATAATATGGATAGGAGGTAGGACTGAAGTGATA